AGAATCTTCTTCTTGTTTTTCTTGTATGAGATGAGTGACCTCTTGTTTGGGAAACAGTCTGACTTTCTAACCATAGCACAGATCTAAACCTTGCCAAGGTGAGCAGCAATATTTACTTATTTCCACATCTTTTATAATAAAGAGCTGCTGTTCCTCAGCTTTGGGACAGGAGCTCCCAGCTGAGGCAGACTTCCAGCTGTGAAGTTTATCTGATCCTGCTGGATGCTTTAGTGGCTCCTTGATTGGTCTCCCAGTTCCCAAATACTGCACCAAGATGCAGCCAAATGTTTGCAGTGTTGGGTCTTACAGAGAATTTCACTGCTTTCAGCTATGTCCTCCTCAGTGCTCTGAGGTGATAAAATAAACCAGGTTACAGCTCCTAACCTGGAAATTAGGGAGTATTTTCCTCAGCTATGTCCTCCTCCGTGCTCTGCTGCACCTTCTGAGGTGATAAAATAAACCAGGTTACAGCTCCTAACCTGGAAATTAGGGAGTATTTTCTTCAAGCATCTTGTGCTCTATGGCTTTAAATGCCAGCTGTGTGCCTGGCACTCACATTCAGCCCCACTTTGTACATGTGGCAATTACCTGCACTGATAATAAGCTACTTAATGAATATAATATATGAAACCAATTAAACTAATGATCAGAGATTCCAGCAAAAGAAAAATTCCCTTTGTACAGGAGGGTGTTGAAACCCCAATTTGGTTCTGCAGCTCTTTCCTCCCAAAATGCAACAATTGCCATTAGGTTTTATGTATGTCACTGGCTTCATTTGTCACACATTCCAATTACACACCTCTTAAATGTCTCCAGCTCCCTCTCAGAGTTCCACACGAGGTGGGAAACTTAAAGGGGGAAGCTCCAGTTCATTTAGAACTCTTGCTTTTATTGATCATCAGTGTGCAATTAAGCAGAGGTAAACAAAAAGAATGTAGCAGCAGACCTCTGCAAAGATCAACAGTCCCCAAGACTCAAATCACTGATTTAATTAAAGCAATTAATAAAGCCTTTTAAATACTGTATTTTCACACACACTACCTGCAGGCTATCCCTAAAACCATCTCTTCCCTCCACGTTTGCAGAGGAATTCTGGCTGGGCCTGAAGAAGATCTACTCCATCACCCAGCAGGGGAATTACCTGCTGCGGATCGAGCTGCAGGACTGGAGAGGGAACAGGAGGCACATCGAGTACAGCTTCAGCCTGGGGGGCCCCAGCACCAACTTCACCCTGCAGCTGTCCAGGATGTCGGGGAGCATTCCCAACGCGCTGCCCGAGCACGCCCAGCTGCGCTTCTCCACCGGGGACACGGCCAGCAGCTCCAGCTGTCCCCAGAGCCACCCAGGTACGGCCCAGGGCACGGCAGCTGCTCTGCCCCACCCGCACTGCACCCTGGAGGGCAGGGCTGGGAGCTCAGAGCTCATCCTGGGGTGCTCCCCGGGAGAAAAGGAGTCTCAGGGGAGTGATCTTGAGTGATTCTGTGAATTCTGTTTCAACCCTGACATTTTCCACTATCCCAGGTTGCTCCAAGCCCCATCCAGCCTGGCCTTGGACACATCCAGGGATGGGGAATCACAGTCTCTCCAGACAACCTCTGCCAGCCCCTCACCACACTCACAGGGAAGAATTTCTTCCCAATATCCCACCTAATCCTGCCCTCCTGTGCAAACAACCAACACCAGAAACAGAACAGGCAGCACAGGCTGAAATAACCCCAGGATGAGATTCCAAACTCTGAAGCAAAGGGCTGTTCCTCCTCTGATGCCTGGCCTGGTGTGACAGCCCCGGGCTGGGTTGTTTGATCCCTTTTTGCAAAAAATTTAAAGACAAACTGACTTCTAACTCCATTTAGGCTACAACCCAAAAGCTAATAATGAGTGAGTTTCCATTCAAAGGCAGATTTTAGCTGCTTGTCATATATACACAATATAATCACTCTCAAAAGAGCAAGAGATACAAGGCTGAGGCCATTTCTCCTTGGAGATAATTTGGTTAAAGGGTTCTTAATTAAGAACCCTTAAACTCTTTGTAAATCTCTGATTTACAAAGCTTTTATGTTTGCCAGTTTATAGCAGAAAGCAAACAACTGAAGGAGCAATTAAATGATTAAAGCACAGGATACAAAATTGTCCTCCAGCCACCTGCTCCATGCATCAAACACTTTGTACATCATCCTAGACATTCTTGAAAATTATGGATGCCTGAAAGAATGCCAAGAGGGGCATCTGATGTCCAGGGAAGGGCCCCTCAGGACAAGGATATTGAGGGGCTGGAGCATGTGCAGGGAAGGGAATGGGGCTGAGAAGGGTCTGGAGCAGCTGAGGGAGCTGGGAAGGGGCTGAGCCTGGAGCAAAGGAGGCTCAGGGGCCCTTGTGGCTCTGCACAGCTCCTGCCAGGAGGGGACAGGGCTGTGCTCCAGGGAACAGGGACAGGAGCAGAGGGAACGGCCCCAAGTGACACCAGAGGAGACTTAAATTGATTAGAGGGAAAGTTTCTTCATGGAAAAGGTTCTCCAGCCCTGGCACAGCTGCCAGGGTGGTGGAGTCCCCATCCCTGGAGGGATTTAAAATCCAGACAGGTGTGGCCTTTGGGGACATGGGTCAGTGGTGGCCTTGGCAGTGCTGGGGAATGGCTGCACTCTGTGACTTTAGAGGACTTTCCCAACCCAAACAAATCAGTGATTTGGGAATCCTGGGTAGATGCCAGTTTAGCTGGAATTTAGGGTCTAAAGCAGCTCTGTGTTGCAAGGAGGAGCTGTTTGCTCTGCCACAGACTGACATGGCCACGTTTCTCCTCAGGAGGCTGGTGGCACAGTGAGTGTGAGGAAACCAACCTGAACGGGAACTACGTCACGCCAAGGTCCAGGGGAAGGCTGGACAGAGGAAAAGGTTTGTACTGGAAGCCTAAGAAAGGAAGATACTACCTGCTCAAGTCAACCAAAATAATGATCCACCCAACAGACTTGAAAAGCTTTGACTGAGTGCTCAACCTGCTGCATTTTAACTCAGAACAAGCACAATGAACTTCACCACACCAAAGGACTTGATGCTGTGTTTACCAACAGATGCCATGTCCCAATCCATGCCCTGCATGGAATTTCTCCAAAACATAAACCTGAGGCATCTGAGATGGTCTTACAAAATGTCTGGTGAGTATTGTCATTCCTTCAAGCCCCAATGTCAACATGCTGCAACTTTTTGTGGAGCTTTTCCTTCCCCACAGGGCAATTCTAATGCCTAGAAGCCAACCTGTCACATATTGGATAATATTGTTTGGGGGAATGGGTTTTCAGGCTGTGCATTCCCTTCTGGGTTGTGTAGTAGGGAAAACAAAAAGTGTTTTCTGGTAACAAAGGGCTGGCAAAACCCTATGGAAAACATTTAGGGGGAACAAAAAGAAATTTTGTTTCTTGAAGTAACTAACTGAATGTTTGGTTCATGTTTTTGTTGTGGAATGTTTTAGGAGCAAATTAAAGATGGGTAATTCCTCGTTTTAGGGCACTGGGTATTTCCAGACAGTTTTCCCAGGAGTGCAGCTGAGGCAAATCCGTGCTCTGTGGAGCTCTGCAGGTGTGTCACACACAGGGGGCAGAGCAGATCCTGCTCCTCGGGATCCCACAGATCCCACAGGGCACCTGCACAGCTGGGGCTGCTCACTGCAAGTGAGGAGCCAAACTTCACTGAAAGGAGGAAGAGATCTGCTCTCCTCACCTGAAATGAATCAGAGCCAAGCCTTTGTGACCTTTCAGTCCAACCAGCTAAGGAATTAAACAAACAACCAAGTGAGCACACACCAAAACACTTTTCACTTAGGGAACAGCTGCTCCAATGGGGTCAAGGGTGCCACCCCACAAACCCAGCAGGCACAACCCATGGGACAGGGCTGGTCCAGCTCCTGGGGACACTCACATGTTGAACTTCAGCTGCAGAACACGGAGTGACAGCCTTGGGCTGGGCCTGGAAGTGCAGACTGACAAAACCCCAGTCCTGCAGTTCCCTGAGTCATATTGACTTGTTTATCTTCCCCAACCCTTGTACAGTGCGGGTTTTTTATCTCAGCACAGGAAATGGTTTTGGTTGCCATTTGTCAGAGTGAAACCCCATGAACAGAATGTGTCAATTACAGAAATGCTGCAAAAAAATCCTTTTCCTTCTCATGGGTTTGTAACAGAGATGAGATCATGCAGTGTTGCTTATTTGTACTGGTTTACTGTAATGTTAAATTACCTGTCCAATAAATAAATAGACAAACAAATAAATGGCTGAGACTTTTCAAAATACAGGATATGGAACTCGACTAAACCCTTCTTGCAAGCTTTGATTTATAAAAACCTGTTTTGTATCTAAATTTAAATAAAGGATTTGCTAAGTTGGTGAAATTACTCAGCCGATGAAGACAATTCCACCCAGCCATGTAATGTCTTCAAAGATACTGTGAAAAAGCTTTAAATTAATAATGGTACATAATGTAAAGAAATCTGGTCCCAGCCTGGATTGTGTTATAGAAAGATTATTGTTTCCCAAGATATTTAGAAAAATTTCCTAATTTTCAGCGATTCAGAGGATTTTTTGTCAAGTATTGTAAACAAAGAAATTGCCTGGAAACCAAAATGGAAATATGAACAAAGAGATTATGCATTTTCAATATTTCTAACCCTTGCTTTAAAGAAAAAAAAGTCATTGAAAGTGACATAAACCAATAGGAGAATAGTGACTTTAGCAAAGGAAAAAAACCTACATAAAACTGAAAATAATTTAACACAATGGAGAAATGGAGAAACCTCTCCTGTGTTCTTATTCACAGCCAAGTTTGATGCAAACCTGTCTGTCCCTCCCCAGCTGAGCCTTGCCTGCTGTGTCAGCCTGAGCCCTTCCCATGCCTCTGGCACAGCACCTCTGCCCATCAACCAAATTTTGCAACAAGTCTGCTGATAAGGGAGGAATTTCTACACTTGCCAGTCCCAGGCCCTGGAAAGTGAAATGAATTTCCAAACTCTGACCTGTATGTGGTGTTTGGAACGTAGACATCCCTGGCAGGGAACTCCAGGATTTCTCTGGTGGGTCTGACTCTGCTGTCTGGGTAAAGCTTGACCTGCAGCAGCTCTGGGGTTAGACAGTAGTGGGGGTTCTCTGGAGCTGGAGATATGTCTATCTTCAACTGAGCTGCAAGAAGAAAAGGGTTTTATTCATTAATAAATGGAAATTAATTTTTAAAAGCACAGTTGTGCTAAACCCTGGCACCCAGTGCCACATCCAGTCAGTTTTTAAACACATCCAGGGATGGTGACTCCACCACCTCCCCAGACAAACCATTCCAGAACTTTATCACCCTTTCTGTAAAAAACTTTTTCCTGATATCCAGCCTATATTTCCCTTGACACAGCTTGATTCTGTGTCCTTGCAGCCTTGGGAGAAGCTTGGATTGATGTGAAGCTACAACACACAGACATTAAATGGAAAATTCATGGACTTACGTTTCTATAGTTGTAGGAAAGAATGTGCCTTAAGTAAGAAACTGTATTGATAAGATGGTGAAGGGTTTATAATGCAGGGGTGTGGTTGTACAGAGAAAGCAAAGAGTTGAGAAGTTATAATAGAAGCATCTGTGTGTACAGATAGTAGCCCACTGGGTAAAAGTAGGAGTAAGTACTTCAGTGCAGTAGAAGTGAGTAAAGGTGATAGGTTAGAAAAGCAAAATACACCTTGTGGCCATTGGATTAGAAACTTATTTATTGCCTTGTAACAAAGAACTTGTGACTACTTTGAGCTATGGCCAACAGCTTGCTCCTTTAAAACCTCCCAGCCTGTGAGGCTGATGTTTGTGTGGGCAGTAAATGGTTCCCAGCCCCGTGGTGGTGCCATGCCCTCATCAGAAAGCAGAGACAATGACAGCTGGTACCTGTGATGGGCCTGAGCCTGCGCAGCACCGACGAGGGACGTCTCATGTCAGCCAGGAACTTGTACAGGTCCTCATCGCTCAGGCGATCCCCCTCCTGCTCAGGGTGCAACATTTGCTTACCCAAACTCCCCTCCAGGGCTGCCAGAGCGAACAAAGCCTCTCACCCCACAGGCTCTTCCCTCTGACAGCCAACTGGCCCTTCCCAGGACAAGGTGTTACCATTAACGCGTTAAATTACACTTCACTTCTCCATCCCTTCCCCTGCCTTCGTCCCTTATTAATCACCCTGACAGCTGCAGGAACTTTTAATTGAAAGCCTTTTCTCTCCCCATCAATATTATCTTTTTCCAAACTGGAAATGGCTGCTAAAAGGTTTCCCAAAAATACCCATTTTTTAGCAAGTGTAATAGTTAGAAAAAGAATCTGTCATTCAGGAGGTGATCCTCATTCCTTCTCCTCTGCCCTTCCTTTGGGATGAGCCCAGAACAGACTTATTTTCCAGGAAAAGTAGGAAGGGCAAGGAGTCTGTTGTCAGTCTTCCTCATGCCCATTCTAACAGCTCAGAGTTTTGCCAATTTTGGAAGTATTTCAGAAAATGGGACTCTGCCACCCAAAAGCAGAAGACACCTGATTTTAAAGGTAAGAAATCACACTATAAAAAAGAAAAAAAAAAGAAGCGAATGGAATAAGAAAAATACTGGGTAGTGTTCAATTAAATATACTGAACAGGAGAAAAGGAAGATAATAAATAATATGAAATTTAAAATCTTAAATTAATGTTTGGCAGTTTTTAAAGAACCAATTAAATAAAATGAGCTGCTTCAAAGTAAAAATAACCTCAACAAAGTAAATAAATACATGCGTTTGTAAATCATTACTAACTTAGAGACCAGTTTTTCTTTAACTAGATGTGACATTAGGCAAATTTTAGAAAATTTTCAGCTCATTACTTTTTGCTAAGCTTAACTAAAAAATTTGTTCCCTTTATTCATGTGTTCCACGGCTCAGGAAAATCCCAAGCTCTGGTGAGGAGGAGCTGCCACTCAGCAAAGCAGCACCACAAGCAGAATGCTTTGTTCTCCTCAGGGATCCCTGGATGTGTCCAGGGATCTGATGTCAACCTTAAATCACTCTGAGGAATTGCATTCACCTCTAGCAGAATTAATATACTATATAAATATTATGTAATATATAACTTAGAGAAGGTTTAGATTTGATATTAGGGAGAAAATGTTCCCTGGGAGGGTGGGCAGGCCCTGGCACAGGTGCCCAGAGCAGCTGTGGCTGCCCCTGGATCCCTGGCAGTGCCCAAGGCCAGGCTGGAGCACCTGGGACAGTGGGAGGTGCCCCTGCCATGGCAGGGATGGCACTGGATGGGCTTTAATCTCCCTTCCAACCCAAACCAGTCTGTTATTCCATGGTAATTGATAAATGACATAAACTGAATGCTGCTCCAAGTCTCCCTGCGACTGGGGAGCAGAAATCAAATTAATCCCAAATTAATCCCAAATTAATCACGCAGTGACCTCACACCACCCAATCCTTCTGTCCAAGAAATAACTCCTGGGTGAGCCCTTGCCCTGCCAGACCTGTTTGAAGAAGTTGGTCACTGTCAGCGTGGCTGGCCTGAAGCTGCTCAGGTTGCAGGCCTCGTCCCCACTCGTGGTCCTCTCCAGGGATCTCCTCCCGACGATGCTGGAATTCCGCCGCTCCGACCACGACCCTTTACGTTCTGCAAGACACAGCAGTGAGAAGGAATTAAAAATAAAGCAGAAAAACTACAGTCCAAGAGCCTGCTTTGGTCCCAAGCAGGATTCCTGGGGAAGGAAGAACTCCTTCCCTTAGAGCAGGAGGGAATGATGCCATAGGTGACAGAGAGGGGGTGATGCTCCCACTCCAGGCATTGGGAGGCTGTGGAGCACAGCTGACTCCTGCTCCCCTCCCAGCCACCTCACCCCAGTGCCTTCCTGCTGTTATAGAAGTCTTTATCATGCTGAGATTTATGTATTTCCCTTGCTCTGAAAGATGATGAAGCTGGCAGTTTTGGGGATGCTGAAGAGCAGTTTCGGATGAGCTATGTGGCTCGCAAAGATTAATCCACTCCTTTGGAAAATGTTCATCAGCCTGTAATGCTCCCTCAGTCTCACAAGCCTGGTTTTAAATAATATAACAGATGGTTTGCTAGTAAAATCCTTGAAAGATAAATCCATTTGTTATCATGGACTTTTCATGTTTAGTTCAACCATGACCCCAGACCATCAGGGTAGGGGGAGGAAAGCAATAAAAGGAGCAACAGCAGCTACAGGATATGAACCAAAACCTCTGGATTTGCCCACGTTCCCTCCTGCAGATGCCAAGTCCTGTACCTCCTGTGCCAACTTCAACTTCTGTGGAGTCTCTTTCCAAGCTGCCAGCACTGCTCACAATGTTCATGAGGTGAATGGCTGTCCAGGCAAAAGGCATCCGGTACTTCCCCAGTCTTTGGCAAAACTGCTCTGCCTGGCCCTTCAGTTTTTCCAACTTCTCCTTGTTCTGTGAAGAAAATATTCAGTCCAGGAGGTTAAAAGGAGAGGAACAGGGTCAAAGGTTCATTCAGCAAAATCACTGAGGAATGATGGTGTCTTTTCCAGCTCCCAATGATTTGTGTTTCTGTAGCACTTCCAGAGGAGGAGCAGCAAGTGTTGGGAAAATGCAACTCCTGCTTCCCAAAAGAGGCCACCAGAGGACAGTCAAAACAGTCTTTTATGTTCTTTATCCTCCTGAATAGCCTGGCAAACCCCAGTGAGCTCATCTGCCCACTGTTCCTTCAAGAAAATCTGAATTTGCCCCTGTGGAGGCTGAAAGGGCCTTTCCTATTGTGATTTTATGCAGGAGGTGCTCAGATCATCTGGAGTTGTGTGGGAAACTCAAAACACTCCTCAAATAAGTACTATCATACTCATTTTGTCAAGGAAAAAGGGGAATAAAAGAGGATTTTTCCATAGCTCTGCATGTTAAAGAGGAATTTTTAGAGCTTTGGGGAGGAAATAATTTATTAAGAGGTTGATTAAAAGGAACAAATCACCCAAATTTTTGGGAAATGGAGAGGCTGAGACCACAGGAAGGGCTGGAACCTCTGCTCTGCCCTTCACCCAGCCCTCATTATCACCCTCTGATCTCCACCTGGCCCAACCCACCTGCACCCCAAATTAGGAACCATTTTGGAGGTTCTAGAACCAGGCAGAAGTGATGGGGTTAAAGCTGCAAAAGCAGTGGAAAAGTTGCATTTTTTACTGCAAATTCCCATCCAAGACTGCCTTCCCTTGACCCTTTGGGACAGGGAATCACAGAGGACTGAGTTTGATGGGAACCACAAATCTCCCCTGGCAGCCACAGCATCTGCTGACCTTTAACTAGTCCACCCCAAAAAGGCATCAAGACTCAAAGGTCTTTGGCTCTTTTTTGGCCTTTAGAATGGGATTAATTCCTAATTAAAAATGGATCCTTTTAAAGACAGGAACAGTATCAACCATCCAAGGCAAAAGAAAATACATTTAATTTTTTATCAAAACACCAAAGAAATCCTTACCTTTGCTGCATCAGATTCTTTAAAAATCATGTAAGGCTCTGCACACTCCCCAATATCTCCCTGCTGTAAAACTTTTTCCAGCTGAGAAGGGAAAAGGAACCATTTTAAGGACATATATTAATAAACTGAACAAGGATTAATAAACTGAACAAGCACCAGGAAGGAGAAAACTCTTCCACAAGAGCTGCAGCCTGGTGAGTCCTTGTGTGAGAAGCATTTCTGCAGACCCCTCACACTGCCTGTGAACTGCAAATCTGTCCTGAACTCCCCTTCTGACCACAGGATGATTTTTTACCCAAAGTCCAGCCAAAAATCTTGGCTCAAACACCCACCTGAGCGAGCAACATTTGTGCATTCACTGAAACCAAAGGAGAGAACAGAGAATAACTTTTATTTTTGTCTACTTTAACCCAGGAGGGACCAATGCTGCATTTTATTTCAGTTATGGATCTCACTCTCTTGGCAATTTCTGCCCTAAATACATCTGAAAATCTGGCTGAGGGGCGTGTATCCTTCTTGAAATGAGATCCAGATCAATAGATATTTTTAAATCACTGACTTATCTGTCATTTTAAGGAGTCAGCACATTGCTTTATATGAAAACCAAGGTCAAGCCCCAGAAAACTGATTTATATCATCAAGAAACCTTTGTGCTCTCCCCAGCTTCAGTGCACTGAACTGGTTGTTACAAAGGAACTGAAGTGAGAATACTTGAAATAAAGCAGCACTGTTTACACTTCTGAGAACAAAATTTCTGTTTTACTTTAAATAAAAACCACAATAATTTCAATTTCCCTGGCATTTCTTACCTTTATTACTAGAAAGACATCTTGGGATGGGTAGGTGATAGAGAAGATGGCAGATCTGGCCAGGGTGGAAATGGCAGCAGGGGGCACATGAGGCCGAAGCATTCCCTTCATCTGCTCAGAGTTTAAATCAAAGTAGAAATTCTCTGAAATCTAAGGGAGAAATTGGGTAGTTGCAAGCGTTAGTTATAACTTTTTTTTGGTAAACTCTTCATTAACAATTTTAAATTGTTTTCAAATACATGTTAAAACTCCTTGTGTCAAACCATGTATAAAAAGAAATTTAAAAAGCCTTTTTGATAAAAAACCAAGGCAGGACAGTGAGAAAGGAAATGGAGGAAACAACACAAATAAAATTTCCTCTCAGGTGTGCAGCTCCATCACAGGATTAGGAATTACCATTGTTAGCTGAACTGAAAACACCAAAATATTTTTAAAAAAACAGAAAAAGTCAAACTAACACCCCCTGAAAGACAGACACTGAGCCTTCTGCCCTGAACCAGCAAATCCTTGACTGCAAAGCTTCAGAGCCAAAAAAGATGTGAGCAGGCTACCAACACCAGAGGTCACTAAAGAACTTACTATGTTAGAGCCAAAAAAAGGAGTAATGAGATGATAAAATTGGCTTATGAAATGTGATTTAAATATTAAACAAAGTTCACATAATATTCCACATACTCTCATCTACATAACTTAAATCTCAATGCATTAAATTCAAGTCTTAAAGAGATAAATGTCAAAATGCATATTTTTAACATTTTTCTCTCCACTACTGCTAATATCTTGAACAAGGAAAACTAAGAGACTCTTTAAATATTAAATACAGAACATAAATAGGTGAATAAATGTATTTTCCATTTCCTATAACTTAGATCTTGAAGAGACTCCTCAGTTTTGTTTTGATTGTAGCAATTTCAGCACGCATGACTTTCTGTGCATTATTGAAGTGTTGTTGGACCCATGCCATGCTGAATCACCAAAAAGAGATTAAGAAAGTCATAAAATCCTAACCTAAATAAAAGGTTTCAGTTACCTAAGTTCCCTCTGGGGAAGAGACTTTTGAAAGCCAAAACTGGACTACATATATATTTTTTTAAATATATATATATATATACACATAGATATTTTTTATTTTCTATATATATATATGCATATATATATATGTGTGTGTGTATATATATCTATATATATATATATTCTGATTTCAGGCACTCACATATTAGATAATATTTTTAGAAAAGTATTAGATGATGTACGAGATAATATTTTTAGGAAATTTTTATACCTCAACTGTTTTACAAAGAAGACCACACAAGACGGTTCATGAAATGCCTTCATCATTCTTCCAACCTCTATGTCACTGTCCTCTTAAAGCTTTGCCACCAGAATTAATTCCTCCATTTTTTGCGTTTGAATTTCAGTGGAAATGACACACTCAAGTAATTAAAAACCTACCTTCTTCTTTTCTTTAACATCATACAAAGCCAAACTTGCAAAAATGGGCTCAATTTCTATTTCAAATCTTGAAAGAAGGAAACACAGAATCAGTTGACTTGCATTTTGTCAGAGGGAATAACCAACCCTGTCCCCAAATCCTCCCTGGGTGATGGGGAGGGCAGCTCCTGCTCCACAGGGATCTCCTTTCCCAATTTCCACCCCACTCCTGTCCTGCTCCCTCCCACCAGGACCACCTCAGTGCTCCCTGGACCTTCCAAAAGCCATTTTACCTCACTGAAAGCCAAGCAAAGCAGCCCAGAAGCCTCCTCAAAGGGGCAGAGTTGTAATTTGGGGTAACTGGAGCACTCAGCTCTCCTGATGCCCTGGAGAAGCCAATTCCCTGAGTTTCCCCAGATAAATGGCAACTGCTCCTCTCAGCATCCCTGGCCAGAGGGCTCCTGCCTCTGGACAGCAGGGACACCTATTTTGGCAATTTCAACAATTAAATGTTGTCAGAAAGTACAAAAAAAACCCCTCAGAAAGGTGCCAGCTCTTCACAGTGACTGTTATCCAGTGTTTATGCAAATTCCAACACTCCCAACAAGAACATGGCCCACCAAACAGAGCTGAACTTATTGTCAGAACACCTGGGCACCTACAGGAATTTAAAAACATGCAAAACCTGTCCCTGCACACAGTGAGCAGGGGCTGAAATGCCATTCTGCCCTGCACAGCTTCCCCACAAAATCCATGTCCCCTCCACACCCAGCCCTTGCAGAGAGCTCTCAGCTTCAGCCTGGAACTCCTCCTTCCAACACCACCAAACAGGTGTTTTCTCTCCAGTTTTGCAACAAAGCTGAGATTAACCTGGAAATAACCCTGCTTAGGACATCTGAGCCTGCTCCCTGGGGAAGATGTCCTTGTTTGTGCCACTGAGATGGCACAATCTTGGATCACATCCCCGAGCAGAGCTCAGAGATTCCCAGGTACACAAAGCAAACATGGAGCTGGGCAGATCTCCTATAAATCTGCAGTCAGCAAGAGATGCTTAAAGAGCAGAAAACATTAATTTCCAGCATCTAACTTATTTATGCTAAAGACACCCTCCTTTGGAGGGAAAGCTGCAGTGCTACTGCATATTATGTTGTTCCAGTTCATAAAAGGCTGCAAAATCAGTTCATCTCTATGGCTATATTAGGTCCTGGAGTACTCTACGAGCAGGAGAAATGTCCCACACATATATCTCAGTTATGAGCAGCAACTGGAGCTCTCTAATAAGAAGGGTTGACCTAACTGAGGACACAGAAGATGAATACAGCAGTGTGGAAAATCAGTTTTGTACTTTATTTCTCCAAGGGAATAACAGTAAAATTTTACCTTGTGTTATTAGAGAAGAGTTATAGGCAATGAACCAGCTGCAGGTAACCCTATATTCAGGAGCTCCACTTCATTAAACTTGTTTAACAGGTTTCTATTCCTCCAGTTAATGCTTACTAAGTATATAAAGTCTTCACTCTTAAAGGGACACAGTCAAGGTTGTTGAGCCTAAACTTTGGCAAATCTTTGGCTGTCTTTATGTTTTTAAGGCTCGAGCATTTTTAATCTTTAAATTTAATCTCAAATTTCCTCCTTAGGGAGGGGAACACCAGTGAGTGGCCAGCTTGAGAGCCCTGGGGGAGCGTGGTGAAGCCTCATGTCACGTGCCAGGGACATGGAACAGGTAGAGCTGGAAAGCCACAGGGAGAAAAGCCAAGGGAGGAGGATATTTCCTGTCTCATCATCTGCAGGAAGTCTTGAAGGTACAACTGTGCAATTCAAGCTTTACAAAATGAACCTGGAAGCCTATGACTAAACAATGCAGTGACCCTTCCAGGGCAATGAAAAAGGCAGTGGAGTTATCCCAGAGTGTCCTGGTTTGATAAGGAAGTGAGTTTTTTGGGAAAACCATGACACAGAGGCACGTGGATACAGCAGCAGATTTGAATTCTGAATTTCTGTCTGTTGGAGTGGTACTTACTTCAGGGACAGACACTTCACCAGGAGTCTTTGGCCAAAGTGTTCTTTGGGTACTTCAGGGACACTGAGTCTCTCTATGGGCTCCTCCTGGAATTAGAGACAATTCCTGTACAAACCACCAGCAGAACCAGGAGGCAAACACATCCATCACTTTTTTTCTTCTAAGACACAGCACCAATTTAATCTGAGGCTTCCCAGCACGATGCATTCACCAGCAGCCATAAATATGCTAAATTAAATCCCTTTAATGTTTCTACATTACTGGAGATTGCATAACCAGAAGGGAAACCCAATCTTCAGAAAGGAATATCTATGGGCAAGACAACATGCTGAAAAACACAAAATAGCAGCAGCTCTCATGCAAGTTAAACACAGGTGATCTTACACCCTTTAAGATTAAGGCAGACTTGTAGGAGTGTAGGAGAATGCCTCCTAATGACAGAGTGGCAAACTAGCTTTTGTCCCCCAAAAAAGGAAAGAAGCTCAGAAGTTTCTCCTAATGATCAGGCGAAAAGCCACCTTACAGGGCCCCAGAGACTTCACTAAAACTTTGGAGTCACCTAATTGGATAGAAGCCAAAAAGTCCTGCCTGGGCCATAAGGTAGAAAAGGAGAGAACAAAAGAACCACGAGGCTTTTGTGAATGTGTTTTCTAGAAGGAACAAACCTCTGTACCTGGCTTGGATTTTCTGTTTGTTATTTTGCCTTTTATTAAACCTTTTTGTTTCAAACACTGCAGCAGAAGCCATCCTGCTCATTCTTCGCCTCCAAAGATATCCTTGGGTGTATTAAGTTCCCTTTTGAGGGCTCATAAAACCCTAGCCCAACAAAACAGAACCTAATATGTGGCGCCTTGGACAGAATTTCTCATAGACTGGCAGCTTTCACTTCATACCCTTCACTTTTTTAGCCTCACCCACACGCATGCAAAAATACCTCATCTGGTGCTGGGTGTAGTGCAAAAAGCTCCTTGTGCCTGCTGGACTTCCTCTGGTCCTCGTTGTGGTGGTCGATCTCCTCGTTTGGGGTCCTGTCCAGCAGGTTGGGGAGCAGGGCATCGGGCAGGGAGTTCTTCAGGTCGAAGATGCTGCAGGCCCAGCTGCCCCGCGGCGTGTCGTCGATCGACATTGAGCGGCGCTTGAGGTCGTCCTGGGAGCCAACAAATTAAAAGCAACTTCTAATGGGAAAAGGACTGCGCTTTTAAAGCAGGGCCATAAATTAGGTTTTATGTAGTGAGGTTTTAAAGGCACATTACTTGTTCATCCTGGTAGCTGTTGCCATCAGGAGATTCGTCGGACTCGAAGACCTGTTTGGGGAGCCCTTTTTGCCTCTCCTTCTGTTTGTCCAAGGTGTTGGGGTTGAACCCGGTCCCCAGCTTGTGGTATCTGCAAACAGGGGATTTCAAACACGTTCTCAGCAGCCCTTTTGACCCCGACCCCAGAAGCAGCACTGGGAACAAACCCAGCATTGTCAGCGTGGGTGCTCCCGAGGCAGGAGCTGCTCTCTGCACACACAATTTCCAGTCAGCTCCACTGGAGCTGGGGCATCATCCAACAGCCACTATTCCAGCACTACAATGTGACTCTGTTCATCTATAAAGCCACTCTGGGTGATGTCAAAAGGAGGATTATCAAGGGCCAATTAAAGTCACTGTAAAATGTGCCATTGTGATGCCAAGCTAAAAACAGGCCGGGAACACGAGGGCTGAAGGCCAGTGGTTCTGCTGGAGCAGGAACTGACTTGGAGCAGATAAAATGATTAACTGGAAAACCAAAACAGCAACTCAGGAAAATCCTGAGCACCTCTGGATAACAATTTTCCAACCCAGACTAAAACAAGTGTCTTTACATAGCATCTATGCAAGGAAAGTGGGTCCCTCAGAGCCTTCCAGAGTGTGAGAGCTCCTACAAGTGAACAACAGTCTGCCTGCTGTGCTGACAGGAGCAGATCTCTTTGACTAACAAATTTTTGGGTGCCAAATGGCACCACGTCTGTATTTATACACAAACACATGGGTAGAGCCATGGCCTCCCTGCAATACTCACTCCAAGTCAGTTCCTGGGATCACAGCTAGAATTAATTGTTCTTACCATGCCCTGGCACTAAAGTTACCACAGAGGGATGCTCCAGACATGGGAAAACCATGGAAATGCTAGCAGCTAATAATGGAGGGGAAGAGAAAAAAAAGAGGAATGCATTTTCCTTGCTAGGCTGTAATTCCTAAGAGCTGAACAATAGGATCTGTACAATCCTCACCTGGATGTCTGCATTTCCATCACAGCTCCACCAACAAGTCCAAATTATCTCTACTTCACACCTGACTTCCTCGGTCTAGCACACAGAAATTATGCCATAAGCTTGAAATCAGAATATGCCAGAGGTTTTTTTTCAGGCCAGTGAACTTATTCACCTTTTCCAATATCATTAAAGGAATTACTGAGCAGGTGGATCTCCCTGCCTCAAAAACATTTTGGTTGCAAAAAACTGGAGGCAGAGATGGACATAAAGATTATTTCCCCTGGGGTGGGGAAGAAAAGAATGGAATGTCACAAGTCAATTCAGCAGTTCTTCAAGAGCTGGGGTTTGTGCCCCTGGAGCTAGCCAGAGGACTTGGAACCATCCAGTGGGATGGATTAAGAGGAAATCGTTGGCACCCTTACTTGAAAAACAATTCAGTCCTTCCCAGCTGAGCTTTTGGGTTCTTCCCCTGCTCCAGCAGTAACTCTTCCATTTCCACCCAGTGCACTGCCATGATTTTATCCAAGCTATGACTCTCAGAAGACAAAATCCCACCACATAAAGCTCATCCATCAGAGCAGGAATCACGGCCAGGAATTCCAGGTTCCCATGAAAGTCACTGAGAAGCCAGGAGTGGGTGGCTGGCTGGGTCACACTGCCCAGGTGTATCCAAGACTTTGCTGCCAAGGCTGGGAGTTAATAAAACATCTCCCTCCCTCTTGGGTTCCTTTCTGGGTGGTTTTTTGTTTTGTGGTTTGTTTTTTTTTTGTATGGGATTACAAAACACTTTTTTATTAGGTCACGTTAGCAGTGCCAAGCACAGCCTGAGCATCCCCTGAAGTGGCTCTCAGGACAACATTAAACCAGTGAATTGTAGCAACTGCCACAAGGGCAGAGCTGGAGCTGCAGCCAAGTCATTTGTAGGTGATGCACATCACATGGATCACTCACTCCCTGACAGCTCCTGAAGCCATCAGACTTCCAATCATCCAAGAGAGTCCCTGCTCCAACTGAAGCCTCTCAGAACCCTTCCTGCTAATTTGCATGGAATAATCAATGCATGCCCATCCTCTGAACTGTTAACTCATTAGGTAAATGTTGTGATGGTTCAAATATTAACAATTACTTGTCTGAATGATGTACTTTCCCCAAGTCTCTCTAGGAATCAAAGGAAGTTGCAGAGGGCACCTTGTCTATCAGACGGTGGTGACTCCTCATAAATCACTGCAAAATTAATACAACTTGTCTCTAAAAAGAACTAAAACCAGATGGAACAAAGGAAGAAACAAATGCTGAAAGTAATTTTACTTGTCCACATTCCCTAATTGCTCTACCATGGTAAAGGAGGAACCATGGACTGAAATGGACCAGATTTTCCAAACCGCCCCAAGGGCTTTTGGGTCCCAGATCCAATTTTCCAAACACAAAGCATCAGCTCAGCTGGAGCAGGCAACAAAAACCCAGAGCACACGAAATCAGCAGCCAGGACAGTATTTTTGAGCCTCCTTATAGCACTTGGCCAAAATTTAAACATGAACTTAAGGTGACAAGCACCAGAGGGTCTCTCACTCACTTTCTGTTCACGATGGCCCAGTCCTCCGTGTAACTCCTGACACAGTCCCGCACGTGAGGGTCCATCTCGCTGTTAAAGGAATGAACACCAAAGATCACAGGGATGACGAGGATTTCTGACACACACATTTCACTCCCTGGAGCAGCACCAGGTCACCTCGTGTCCCACCTCTCCTCGGGCACGGCCGACACGAGCGTGCGGCACTCGCGGGGGGTGTAAACCACCTCGATGTCATCGCGGGGGAACTCCAGCAGGTCCCGCAGGGGCCCCGACTCCACGGCCAGAGGGTGGGCACTGAGATACTCCTCCAGGTCCACGGGGTCCACAGCTTCTGTGAGAGGCACCTGGGAACACACAAAGCACCGCGGGGCTTACACCGAGGTGAAGGATAGCAGGAAAATCACAGGCGCCTTTTCTGCTCTTTTTTAAACCAGTTCTTCTGCCCTGTGCAGGATTTGATGCAACATCAGGTGATTAACCCCGGTGGTGTTAACCTCAGTGGTGTTAACGCACATCACAGAGCTGCTTCTCCTGTCTTATCTTTTATCTGATTTCCCTCTGCATATTTCTCTGGTCTGTACCATCACCACCTAAAAAGCACAACTACAGCCAGAAAAGGTGACATCTATTTTCAAGAAATACAACAAAAGCAAACTCAGGACTTCATTTCCCACCTATCTGAGCCTGGATTTGTTTTTACCAGGCTGCGATCACAAAGGGAACCTTGATCCTGATCCAAGATGCAGGAACCCTTCCTGCCCCAGGCAGAACCCAGAGCAAGGCCTGATTTACCAGGAACTCAGGCAGCCACACAGCTCTGAGGACTGACATTATTTTGAATTAAACCACCTCTCTGAGGAACACAAAACACAATGTTCACCTACCACAGGTACAAGTTTAACCACCTCTCCTCCCTGGTATTAGAGCCTTTAGTGCCACGATGACTCTGCCCATGCCAGGAAGGGACACTGCCCTCAATAAAATGGATGCTTAAAAATCATCTTTATTGGGCACAGAGCCTTTACCTGAAGCACACAGAACGACTGAAAACGTGCAGGAAAACAGTAGATTTCACTGGCAGTGCTGATCTCACCACCCTGAGCTTTTTTTAGATACATCAGAAGAAACTTTGCATAAACTGGATACATACTCACATTGCATAACTTGTATTTTTACATATCCCATTACATAAATACATATAAATATTCTGATATGAGATCATTATGCTATGAGGCTATACATAAACATAGACATTAAGAAAATGAAACACTAAAAACAAGTTTTGAGGAAGCTGTCTCTACAGCAACTGAGAGATTTCCTAGAATTCCCTGGCACATGCCAGTGAGGCTGAGTGTTTTAACAAGAGTCACAAAAGCACATCCAAATTCAGCAGTTTTCTCCACTAACTTCCCCTTTCCTGCCATCCAGATGATTTCTGTGGGACAAGGAACTATCTTGTAGCTTGTGTTGGAGATGACTTTACAAAGAACACTTGGTACTTCAGTTTTAAATGTGCTTCTCAGAAATACTGCTATTCAAATCCCAAATTCCAGTTTTCAAACTGTTGCCAACAAGTTCTGAAATTAATCAGCTTTTTATTCAAGGGAAAAGACTCAGCTAACACAGAGGGTACTGAAAGAACCTCCCTACCCCAACCAACCTCAATGAATACTGAAATTTTCTTACAAGGCAAAACCTTGGAAACCAGCGTGACTCCAAGAAGTCAGGGAGGCGGACCAGGTGACTTCTTGCCAGGTAAGAATCTGGTTCACACAACCAACCTCAATGAACACTGCAATTTTCTTACAAAGCAAAACCTTGGAAACCAGCGTGATCCAAGAAGTCAGGGAGGTGGACCAGGTGACTTCTTGCCAGGTAAGAATCTGGTTCACCAAAAAAATATGTGATGGCTGGAAATGTGGTGTTTGATTCTGCAATTTAGGTGAAATAAATTAATTTCTGTGTAAAGAAATATGAGAAGAATCAGAGAAGGGTGGGAAGGGACCCCAAAGACCAGCTCTGCCGTGGGCAGGGACACCTTTCACAGGAAGATGATGATCATTCTTTAATCCCATAACCTTTCCCCCCTGCTCATCCTGAGCTCTTGAAATGGACTCCAAGTCCGTGATTTTGGAGATTTTGGAGAAGTTTTGAAAAGACAAACCAGACATTTTCACTGTTTTCATCACTGCAACACTTGCATGAGCAGAACCTGTGACTGCTCCTGCCACACACAGCTGAGATGTCACCACCTCGCCCTGCTCTTCACAAACAGGCACAGCAGCTCCCCTTGGCACCAGACCCCTGACAAATGTCACTGAGGGGTGATGTGGGAACCCTGCTTACTAAAAATTTTAAACTTTCTGTACTAACAAACACTAACCCCCAAGAGAACACTACAGTTAACCTAACACTATAAAAAAACCTTCTAAAATTAAACACCAGAACTAAAATTATAAGTGTATAGTTTACATAAAAGTGTGTCATATCACATAGTAGAAAACTTAAGAGTTTAAAATTATAGAATATAATTATACATATAAAACAAGATAAAAGTTTTTGAGCAAATGCTAGTCCTTCTTCACCTTCTTCATCAGTTTAAGTAGTATTGTGTAATTAAATTTAAAAACTGCCTTGCCAGTCACGAGTGGTTTATTATTAGATTAAAAATAAAAATAATTTAAGTATAATTTCTTAATTAAACAGTTTATCCTTAAAAAACGTTATAGGAAAAAAAGCTCCATTTTTGCCTTGTTAAAGAAAAGTACTATAGAACCCACACTTTGTGAGACTATAATATAAATAAAAACTAATAAACATCTGAATCCAAGCAAAATTTATCATCTCACAATTTAATCCCAACCTCAACCAAAAAAAAAACCAAAAAAAAAAAAAAACCAAACCAACCCCCCAAAAACCAAAAACCAAAAAAAAACCCCAAAAAATCAACACTAATGGTGCCCCACGTGACGATCCAGCTTATGACCTTCAGAGGGTGGTGACAGCTTTTCCTCAAGGAATTGCTCCAGTGCCTGTTTGTTCCCAAGGGTTGCCAGCTCCCAGCACTGCTCTGTGCCACATCACCCCTTCCCCTGACAAACCTCAGAACCAAAGCACTGGAGAACTCCTTGCAAATGAAGATAAAAGTGCCAAAATGAGTAACGAGATCCTGGGCAGAAGCTGCAGAAGCAGGGGGTGTCCAGAGGGGCTGGGAGAACATCCCCTCACACCCTGCCATGGCCAGGGCACAGCTCCATCCCTGCTGCTCCTCCCAGAGGGTAAGGAAGCCCATGGCATGACAAAAAGCTGCTTAGCTGACCCTGTTTTTGAGCCCTAACATTTTAAGAGTTACTTTTATTCCTCTTTCTGACCCGGCAGCTCCAAAGCTGAGGGATCTTACAGAAGTGAGCTGCTTGTGCAGTGTTGGGTTTTAATCTGCACAAACTCATTTACCTGTGATTATTGAACACACAGGAACCTACCCCTCATCCCTTCCAGCCTTTCCACTCCACTCATCCTGACAAACAGAATTACAGAAAAATGAGGAGAAGCCTCATACAAGTTAATGTATAAACATGCAGAGCTCGCGGGGACATGCAGGACCCAGGGCGTGAGGCTGTCACAGCCCAAAACACAGCAGCTCCCCCCATCCCTGGCATTTCACATCTCCAATTGCCCTTGTCCAACAGGAGCACTGGGATGTGTGGGACAGGAGATGAAGGAAGGGGCCATGCCAGCTCCAAATCAGCCAACCCAGAAAGGCAGGCAGTGTTCTCCCTGCACCCTGGGGGCTTCCAAGCCCTTCACACATTCCAGGATTAGGCCCAAGGCTGCACTTCCCAATTTTCCAGTTTGTCTCTTTGGGTTACTATTGTAGCATGAAGATGTAAACAAACATAAGAGTCAAAGCCAGAGGCCTGTGTTAGACTCACCATCTGTGCAGCCAGAAATACTGTCTAGCACCTGAGTGAAGAGGCCAAACATAAATTCATGGCCATGGAGAGGAACTACTTGGTGTCAGACTATTGGCAGATAAAAGGCAAGAACATTATTTTAGGCTTCAGATATTTGTGGGGGAAGAAGTGATGAAAGAGGAGGAGGAGGAGGAAAGAAGGATGAATAAATGCACCAAAAGGAAAATGAACCTAAAAGATGTCCCCATGTGTGAACAGACTCCTCTCAAGGCTCTTGCTGTCAATGGTTTAATCATTCCCCTGTCCTGCTCCATGCTCCAGCATCGCTCCAAAGGCTTGGATGGGGACAAGTGTGGAAGTCCAGGGCACCAGGAATATTTCTGTGTCTGCTCTGGGGTGCCCTGACCCCCAAGGGAGCTCTGACTTTGACCCCCATTCATGGAGAAAGTTTCCTGGACTTCAAGATAGACCAGAACCCAAAAAAGTGTGAAATAGATTATAGAGAGCAGTGTAGGTGGATCACTTGGTGAGAAATTCAGGGTTTGGGATTTTTAGTATGTTGTGGATGGAAGCAGGATGGAGGGCACAGGGTGTTGTCCTGGGTTTCTTCTTCATTCTTTGTTTTCCTCCTTTGTCACGGGTTTGGGTGGCATTTTGTAATTGGGCAGAACAATCCACATTGCAGCTCTGTGGGATCAGTTATTGGGTTAAAAGGGGAAATAATCCAGGTGTCAGTTCTTAATTGGATAGTTTAGTCTTAAAAGACCTTGTAACAAGAGATTGTTGGCCATTTTGTGCCTTCTAACGAAATGAAAAGCTGCAGAACTCACAGCAGTGAGACTGTTTAACTGATAAGAAATAATAAATACTTGAGTCACAACATGAACTACTGTCTGGAGAGCCTTCAATCCAGACCCAGAGAAACCAACAACTGGGACCCCCACAGACAAGGACAAACAAAATACCAAGGGCTGTTGCTGTGTTACCTGGGCAAAGCATCAATCACCTGAAATTGCCACACAATTTCACCCATGGGGTGAAACGTGCACACTGGAGGAGCTGGACAAGCTCAGGTAAAGCCCAGGTTACCCAACCCCATTATCCCAAGCAACCTCAGTGCTGCTGGAGGAGCAGAACCTGCTGTGACCTCGTGTGGCACCAGAAGACACAAGAGCTGATGGCCCTGGCCTGCAGGGGCTGGCACTGCTACAGCTGATCTCAACCACCAAAGGAGTGCCAGTGCTGCCAGCTGCACATGAAAAGGTCTGAAATCTGTGCAGCAGGAAAGGGGAAGAGCTGAGGAGGATGAAGCTGTGCTCCCCCACAGCCCTGCTTGCTGGCAGGCTGCACACACAGCCACCTTCAGGGCAAACTTCATGCTGCTCCAGGAAAAGCCTTCTCCACTCCTCCTGGCAGCTCCAGGGAAGCAA